AATGAACTCCTTTCTGGGCCAGTTTTCTAGAGGGGTGGACAGGAGAGGTGGTGCAGCCCTGTTCGGGCTCTTTCCTGCAGCCTGACTGCCCTTTGGACCAAGGCTCCCAAAGCTCTGATTTGCCTCGCCGGACGAGTTTTCAGAAGCCAGCTATCAGCGCCTTGCTCCCAAACACGTGTCCCTGTAATAGAGGCAGTTTATCCTCTGCTAGAATTGAGCAACTCAACCCTCGTCTTGCATTACGGAGCCTTTCAAGCATCATTTGATAAGCACTATGAGCGCAGCTCCTCAGGCATTGCTACATCTTTTGGCGTGCTTTGCCCTGCCAAAACTGTGTTTCAAGCTAGCTATAAATTATGCTTCATGGTCGGCTTTCATCTGCTCGCCATGCAACGGGCGAGAACAAAGGCCACTACGTGCCACACCAAGGCAGAAGAGCCAAGGGCCGGGTGGAGGTAGAGGCAATGCAGGCAGCTGGAGGAGGCAAAACAACCTCTGCCCGCTGCCAGCCTTACATCAGGGATGTGGAAAACTGGGGCTGTGCTGCCAGGGAAGGAGCTGGGAATGGTGGGTGAGGAAGAGGAGGGGAAAGAGGGCAGAGAAACCTGGGTTTGCCTGCCCGGTGCTAAGCGGTTACAGCAGGCAAGGGGGAGGCAGCCACATTCCCACCCAAGGGTCAGTGCAGAGGGCTGCACATGGACAGCAGAGGTGTGGACACAAAGAGCTGCGGACACAAAGAGCTGCACAAGCCAGCATCTCCAGAAGCTCCGGCTGCTCCAAGGCCACCCTAAAGGGAATGGCAATGCCCAGACCAGAGGTTTGGACCAGGTCAGAGAGTGGCTTTGCTTGCACAGGAGTGAGCAAGCAAGAGATGTCATCTGCAGGGTAACAGAACTTCACAGGTCAGTGCCTCTGGGTCTGACATGCAAATCTGCAGCTGCTGGAGAAGGCTGAGCCTGCTGAGGGTGAGGAGGAGCCAGTGTCACCGGCGAGGCTGAGGGAACCAGCCAGCACAAGCACATTACACTGTGTTCCTCTGGGTGATTTCACTCACATTTCATCTCAGCATGATCCCTTTTGGGTGAGCTCTCGGACAGCTCTGACCCCCTGGAGGACCACAGCAGCCAGGGCTGGGCAGAGGGAAAGGACTAGACCTGGAGGCCTCTTAGATCCCTATTTACAGCAAGAATAGCAGATGAGCTGCATTAATGCTGTGATGATTTCCCCATCACCCACACCCCAGCTCCTTGGGGCTTAACAGGATCCTTTCTGTGAGTCAAGGTACTTCCTGAAGCTGCTCTCAGAGCAACCGAGCACACACAGCATCACCTCCACTGAGCTCGTGGTGCTGCATCCTGCCTTAAAATGAGACTAGAACAACGGTGAGCTCCATCAGATAGAGCAGCACCCAGGTTAATCACACACCTCTGGCCCACAGACCATGCTCAGTGGTCAGGCAGGTGAAGATGCTGTCCACACTGGGTTCACCTCGCTGACTTCAGCAGTGAACAGCCAACACCAGCCCCACTGCAGCGGCTGGGTTCTGTCTGTCATGGTACCAGGTCCAGAAGTAAGATTAGTCAGGGAATTCGGGCATCAGCCCCTTCACACTCCACTCTGCCCATTCAGAACACACTTGCTGCCAGGCTGACAGCTCCTGGAATGGGAATGGGAAGCAGTATAAAAGGACAAAAGTCTTACCTGATGTTGAGAAAAGGAAGCCATGAAGACAAAGCAGACCAGGGCAGTTCTCCCACCTAGAGCAGGACACTGAGTTGGACCTTAGTGAAACCACAGCCCCATCCTGGTGACCACAGAGTCATGTAAACCACAGTGGCTTGTGTGCACCCATGCTCTGCTCCCACATCTCCATCCTCCAGCCACACAACCAGAGCTGAGCATGGAATAGAAGGAACACAGCACGACACGCAACAGGGTACCACGGCTGTGTGTTTCCATGCAGGTCGAATTCCTGCCTTGGTGCAGCCTACAAACCCCTCTGCGTGTGGTGTAAGTGGCCTCCTTACCCACCTCTGGGACTCCAGCAGCAGTCACCTCCTGGTTTGCATCTCCAGACCAGCTGCACTGTCTCTGTTCAGGAGCAAAGGCTTTGGAAGCAGAGATGATGATCCCATATGCCCCTGTCCCTATCCAGATTTCTTGTCAACCCCCTTTAGGTATTGGGTGATGTTTGGATCTAAGCTACAGGAGCACACAGAAGGGCACCATCCTCAACTATTTGAGGGTGACAATGTCAGGGCACCCTTGAGTCTACAGCCACTGCTGCCATAAACTCATAACCCAGGAAAGAAGTGTTCAGGCCTTTAGCTCGAGGTAAGACATGTCAATGGCAGCTGTTAAATGGAGGTTCATGGGCGATCTAAAGTTTCTCAGGCCTCTGAAGAAGCTGGAACCACAGAGCTCCTGCACTGTAGAAGCCTGGGGAGACCTGGAGGGCTCTGCAGTCCTATAGCACCACTCCCTGGAAATGAAGGGATGGGACCAGCTAAGCAGCCAAGGGAGGAGCAAAGGGCAGAAGGTGGGCCCCAATGGAAGACAAACTTAGTGGGGAGCAGCCCTGTATTTCTCTTGTGTGTAACAGGGGGAATGTCCATAGGCTTCATCCAGTGGCTGAAGGAGCACCTGCAGCAGGGTCACAACACAGTGGTGAGGGTTATCACACTCTAAATAGACTGATCCTTGCTGAAGATTGGCATGCCACATGAACATTCCTTGTATCAGCTGGTAGTGATAGCTTCAAGGAAGGAGGCATGATGCCACTTGGCTGTGGGTACATCCTGATCACAGTGAGTGGCTGCCTCATGCTACCATGCACATGCTTATATCCTTCTGAGCCTATTTCACGTGAGCAGAGCCTGCACCACTCTGCCACCCCATCAGCACAGGCACAGATTAGCAAGAATTAAACTTGTAAAGGCCTTTTAGCTGTTCTTCTGCTCTCCCAAGGTGCCACAGGAACCTACATACACAACACAGGGCGAGGGGTGAGCTCACACAGCCTTTACACATGAGAACTGCAGCAGACACCGATTACAGTCAGGAACTGGCTGCACTTCCTCCTCCAAAATAAAAACTTACTCGTGGTGGATTTGCCTGAATTATGGTTTAATGTCATCATCTACTGTCGCTTTGTCTACAACATTGTACAAAATAGCAGCAGAAAGAACATTTCAGCCCCACACAAATGTTTGACTGGGTCTGAGGATCCAGTGCCTTTGAGTCTTTGATCTACACTCTCCTGTTGCCTAGATGCTGGCAAAGTACCTTTGGTGCTAAGGCTCCAGTGCTGTATGTTCATACAGTCATCATAACATTTGTGCTTTCCAGTCTCCTCCTCCACTCAGTGATGGAATTCCCCAGCCATGGCAGAAGATCTCTGGCGGTACCTCATCTTTCTGGTCAAACATGAAAGACCTTTAACCTCTTTTTGCATTAGGCAAAAACATTCCAGCAATGACATGAGGTTGGGGCAGTTGTGTTTCAAAGGTGGTTTAGGACAGGTACATCCTGGTTTACAGCACTTGCTCTAGTAGATTTTCTAAGTACAGCACTGATCTGCACACACTAATACAGTTGGTTCTAGATTTCCAACCACTCCCATCAATGAATTTTCACTGTAAGTAGCTCTACCCCATGTTAGCCTAGTCTGAGAATGTATCCCTTTATAGCCCAGATAAAACTAGCAGGCAGATACTGGTTTCAGCTTAGAGGTTAAGGGAAATAAAACACTCAGCTGCTATTGGAGGTGGAACAAATGCAGAGCACAATTAGGAAACCTGTTGAGAATTACATGGAATCTAAAATGATTGCTTTGGATTAGAAAAATCACACTCTAAAAGGCTTCCTAGATCCCTGGTGTCAAGAAAGACTCTTGCTGCAGCCTGCCAGTAGGTGAGTGGTGTGGCAGAACGATCTCTCCCGCCTGTGTTCTCCATGGAAACTTTCATCTTAGCCAATTATTTCTCCTCTCATCTTCTGTGTTCCTGAAGTTTCTAATTGTGCTTTAAAGGTCTAGTGGAAACCTATGATCATTTCAGAGAGATACAGTTCTCTTAGTGCTTTTCCCCCCCATTTTGGCTACAGTGCAGCATCATGTTCCAAATGCAACTACTGGCTCTGAAAACGAAAGCACTCAGACTATAATACACATCTGAAGATTAAGACATAGCGTTTGTGTAGACCAGTTCTCAATAAAACCCTTCATATTTACACAGCAGTGCAGGGATGTTCTCAGGAAGGTCATGCTACAAGGTGGAGTCTGAAAAGAAGAGAAAGGAGAAGTAGCTCAGTATTGTGATCAGGGAGATGTCTGCAAAAGGATGACAGGGATTGAACTGCCCCATTTCTCCACTCCTATAATCCCACCAAGGTATTCTGAATTGCATTAAAAGGAAAATATTTGACTCAAAGTAAAGGATATTTCAAAATGAACTGAGTAAAATTGCCAGCAATAGTTATCTATAAATATAATCCACCATCAGTCCTACCCTCAGTCAACCACGCTGATTCTCTGTTCACATCAGGATCCCCAGTGGCCCTATTTAACTTACACCTTGTCCCTCTCTTTCCTCCTTTCTCATTCCCTTTGGCCACATAACACCAGCTCTTTCCTCATTGCTTCACCTGACGTTGCACATCTGGCAGGATCTTCTGCTCTGCACTATAGAAAACTGAGACATTATCTTATCAAATGAAGGTGGGATATTTCTTTCTAAACGATTTGCTATGGCCAAACAAAACTCCTGGATCATGTGGGATTCAAGTGCTTTTCCCATGTCTGCCTTTTCATCTCTATTTCATTTCATAGTTCATGACTACTAAGATAATTACAAATTCAATAAAGCAGTCCAGATATCCACTGCCTTATGGGACATCGCTCTTGCCAGTAAATAAAGCTGCATGGCTACAGTTTTAAGGCATCTTAACAGCAGTGACGTATCTTGACATGAAGGAAGAGGAGCATTAAGGATTGTTCTTACCTTTAATAGTGAGGAAGGCTTTGCTGAATGCACGGCCCGACTCATTCGTGGCTTCTACCATATATTCTCCTTCGTCCTGTTTCGTGACACCCAGGACGACCAGGGAGCAGACTCCGAAGTCGTTTGTGCAAAAATAGGTGGGATCGTTGGAGAGGTCTCTACTGTCCTTATACCACCTGATCTTTGGAGGTGGATGGCCTCCAACTGCACAGCTCATGTGGCACTCGCTGCCAGTGGTCACCACGTGAGGCTTCAACGGGACAAGGATCCTCGGGGGCTGGTTCTGATTAACTCCCTTGTACTTCTGTGGTTTGACATGAAGCTTGGCTGCAAACAACAACAAGCAGCACATAAACACAGCTCAGCTACTGCTCCACAGCAAGACAAGACAGGGCTTAAAGGACTGGCTTTCAGTCATGACACTTCCTTCCTTGCTGAACTGGAATGTCTTAAGTTGTCTCCATGCATTCCCTAGGCAACTAAGTGTTCCCAGGAGGCCACCCCCATTTCAGGATCATGTGTTAGAGACAAGAGAAGAAACAAAGCATGACAGCACACACAAACATCTGTAGAAGCTGATTTACCCTTTGGTTTTTGAATTCTCCAAGGCTGCACAGTTTCAGATGGACCACTGGTTCCCAAGTTATTTTTTGCCACAACTCTAAAGTAGTAGTCCCGGCCTGGGATCAGGCTGGTGAACGTGAACTTGTTGGTGTAGATCAGGTCACCCACCACACGCCACAGGCCCTTCTGTGATTCACGTTTCAGGACTGTGTAGTAGAGGTTACTCTCCCATTTCTCAGATGCTGAGGGCTCCCAGGTTACTGTCACTGTGTTTGGCACATTCTCTTGCAGTTGAATAGGTCCAGGTGATTGTGGGATATCTGTCAGATGAAGGCAAATAATACCAAAGATGTAGGGAGAGTGGCACAGTACAGAACCCTAAAAACTCAGAGTACCTTCTATTTCTGGGGGCTGAGTAAACATCCTGGTCATTAGAAGGGACAAAATTAGATTCCTTCACCAGTCACACCAACTCATTTGCTATTAACTGAACTTCTGCCACATTACATCTGCATTGCTCAGGATCTTCCCTTCTTATAGGGAGGAGATGAGGGTGGTACAGCTAAATTTGTATAACTTCTGGGGAGACAGCATATAGAGTTGTAGTAGCTATGACTAAATGTCCTACAGCCTGCTGCTAACCAACCTTAGACTGTTACAAAGGGGATGACCTGCTCTCCTGTGTTTTGCACTATCCTATTTAAGCAGAGTCACTTGGGAAGCCAGTTGTTATTTTAACCAGTGGACTGCTCTGTCCTGCAGACACCGCCAAGTGATACCACAAAGTGACCAGACTGAACCTCATGGAAAATTGCACTTAACTGCACCAGTGCTCACCATGACCAACTCAGTTTGTTGCCTATCTGCAATGAATCTGCACGTATATGTGGTAGTGAGTGAGTCACCTGTAACTTGAACTTGGAAGCTGAATGTTTCTCTTTTCCCTAACCCATTCTGGAGCTCAACTGTGTAGGTGCCGCTGTCAGTGAATTCAGCTGCTCCGATCAGCAGCTGTGTGGTACCATCTTTGGTGTTTGTTGTAGCCTGGTTTGGAAGAGGATGCCCATCCTTAAACCAAGTCACCACTGGGTCTGGAGATGCCTGCAAAGAAAAAACACAAGTTGTGGCCCCCTTGTTTTGCCTCCAGATTGCAGCTTTAATTCTTTAGTTTTGTTATCTTGTCCCAAATCATAGAGTCTCAGACTGGTTTGGGTTGGGAGGGACCTTAAAACTCATCTAGTCCCAAAACCCCTGTCACAGGCAGGGATGCCTTCCACTAGAGCAGGTTACTCAAAGTATACCTGCAAAAATGAGTACCTACATGGCACACTAAAGTAATATTTAGAAATATGGATCCAAGATGGATCTAACAGGCCGAAAGAAAGGGCTGCTCTAAAGTTTCTCTGTAACTTTTTTCTCTGTGTCTTATAAGAATATTATTTGAATAAGATATCCAGGCTAACTATGTCAAACAAGGACAAATCAGGACAGACAGTTGACATCAGTAGTTAATAGTAGTTACTGCTGGATTTGGAAAGAAGAAACAACCTCAAAGTCTTTATTTCCCTTATGCCATCTTTGGTCTCTCCTCTTCCTGATATCCCAGATTTTATCTGTGTTACTCCGAGCTCATTTCTAAGCAGACAGGATTGCAGCGCTTGCCCATTCCTCAAGTCCACCTATAGCTGAAGTCCTGCTGCTTAGTATGACAAACAGTCAAGAAGATGTGGCTAGAAATGCTACCCCAAGGTCTTCTGAGGGAGTCAGAGAGGAAGAACTGATTTTTAAACTAAGTATGACAGATAGTATCAGATGATGCTAATATTGAGATAGTTGGATGGCCAGCATTGGGCCTTATCTGCAGAGGTTAATGAGTGACCCTAATGTCTTATAACACTAATGCTAAGAGTGACAGCTGAATTCTTGCTCATGTTTTCCCCATGCAGAGAGTATACACAGCACATGCAGCTTAAAGAATCTGCCCAGTGTCTTGTAAACAAAATTCCATGCCAGGAAAGCTCTGTTTTCCCTGTCTATTGACTACTACTTGAAAACAGGTGGGGAATTCTTACTAACACGTTTGAATACTTACTTCAAAGGGAATATTCACTCGGATGGTATTTCCTGCTTTTATAACCAGGAAGCTTTTCACTGTGTCATCTATTAGTAACCTTGGAGGAACTGGAAAAGACAGGGATTACAATAAAAAGTTGTACATTACTACAGAATCTCTGGCTGACAGTCACACACCTGTGTCTGGTATATTCCTAATGCCTTCCCAACAGCTAGTTGGACAGAAAAGAGGAGAAAAGGTAGTTTTGGAGAGGTTTTTGTCATAATGAGTCTTCAACATGAGCTGAACACTCTGCATCACACATTTATTAACAGTTGCATCTTCAATTTCCTGATGAGGTGACCAAGTAAGACCATACTCTAGAGGAGTGACATAGTACTTGTCCTTCTGCTATAGTCTGGAACTTAAAAGAAGCTTGTCAGTGACCTATAGACCTTGCCTGCATCCTTTTGCCTGTAGATTGACCTTGCTCATTCTGAAAGCCCACTTTGACTTACCCACAGGGAGAGCAGCTCCAAGGAAAGCTTCAAGCTCTGTGGCTTCTCCTGGGCCACTGTCATTGAGGGCTCTGACACGCAGGAAGTACCTCTCCTTGGCTCGGAGGCCTTTAACTGTGTAAGTGGTCATCTCTATGGGAAGAGCATTGCATTTGGTCCAGTCGAGGTTGTTAGAAGACCGCATTTCCACTTCATAGCCCTTCACATCACTCCCATCATTTGCTTCAGGTCTCTTCCATGTCAAGGTGATACTTGAGCTGTCACTGCTGCTCACTTTAAGGTCCTGCACTTGACCTGGAGATTCTGAAAAGAGGAATTTTATTTAAGCTATTTTTCTGGGATTTTTATCCCCTTTTTTCAGTCACTTCCTGAGATTCCCCAACATCACAGAATCACAGAATCATTAGGGTTGGAAGGGACCTCTGGAGATCACGCAAGTCCAACACCCTGCCAAGGCAGGGCCACCTAAAGTAGGTTACATACTTGAAGTGTATTGGATATCGACCCTGAACCTGTCTGCAACCCCTCCCAAGTACTTCTCCACACTGTACATCTCCCCCATACATGGAGTCTGCCACATCTTGACTGAGACATCACACAGGAAATCATAGAATCATAGAATGGTTTGGGTTGGAAGGGTTGGAAAGATCATCTAGTTCCAAACCCCATTCCTGCCTCATGCTGACAGCGGATTCTCTCCATTGCCATGAAACATTCCCAATTATATGATCTTTGTCTTCACATACTTTTACCAAGCACTTGAAGCCATCATCTCTCCACTAACATCGCCAGTCTACATTCAGATGTACCAATTCCAAGCCAGAAGGACGGGGGGCAGTGCACTTACTCGAGGAATCCCGTGCAAAGACAGGCTGTGATGGTTCACTGGCATCTCCTGTACCAGCAGCATTGACAGCTGCCACACGAAACTCATACTGCAGACCTTTCTTGAGGTTGGTCATCTCCAGCTTCTTGTCTGCAGAATGAAAAGGAGGGTGTTGGCTCAGATGTATACCATCAGGAGTCACTGATTCCCCTGCCCTTCCCTATCCAAGTGCATGTGTACTTCTGGAACGTGGTCATTGTATTCCCTTTCAAATCAAACAGCACTTGAGAGCTACTAAGTTTGAGAAAGGATAAATACTGCTTTTCCTCATGGGATAATCTTAAACTCTTCTATACTAGATAAGAAGTCCTAGCCTTCAACTGATAGATAATGCTAGCTACAGCCAAACACATCACTTGGATTTATATATTCCTTGCATTTATATATTGTATTTACATAGTCCTTGCACTTAAAAATTCCTGTCTACCAAAGTTCTTAGTGCAAGGATTAAGGATAGTAATTCTGCACATGGAATGAAGACTTTAGTTCCAGAAACTGAAGACATCAGTTTATTTATAGAGGATGCACAGCAGTGAGCTTGTCTGCTCTCTGCTCCAGCCATATGCTGGAGATCATAATCCTCATATTCCCAGGCATGCAGCTGTATATAAACCCAAGAGCTGGTTTTGCTATGGCACAGCTGTGAAACCTTAGTTGTGAGAATAACGTAGTTGTGGAAAAACATACACTATGAAAAAGAAGGTAAAACTTCAGACAGGAGTAACATGGTTGTAATGGGACAGGCAGCAGCTCAAGAATTAGAGGGAAAACACTGGTGTGAAAAGGTGCAAGATCCTCAGCAGCTCCTGAACCCAGTTGACCTTTTTGCCTTCTCCAGGTCCTCCAGTCTGTTCCAGGATTTAAGCTACCCACCTGCTATAGGCACACTGTTGACTGGCAGCCAGGTCATGGTACCCTTCTTGCGCTTCTGAACGAGATATCCCACAATTCGGGAACTGCCACTCTTCTGAGGTGCTTTCCAGGAGATTGTGATGGTGTCTCTGCTGGCACTGACAATCTCAGGGGGATTTGGGGCACCAGGTGTAGCTGGGAAGAGGTTAGTGTTTCATTATTAGCAGGCCTATTTTCATTGCAAGATCAGGAAGTGTTCTGTGGCATTTCTTGGTCCCATTTCCCCCAGGTATCCATGTGGATGTGTTTTGAAAACCTGATTGAGACCTGAGGTTATCCCCCACACAGAGAATTCAGCATGGACCTGTGTTCCTCAATTTTGTTTTCATTAATGACCTGCTCCCATCACAACTGACAGTTCCCCTGTCAGCCTATGGAGTGAGGAGCATCATTCTTACATGGTAGGAGAAAGACAGCAGTATTCCTGCTTTTAATGGTAAAAATGAGAAGCAGAATGCTTTTCTTAGCCCTCTGCTGAAGCATTCAAAATGCTGGTCTTCTCATGATCGTGAGAAGAATGTAGAAAGAAAAAACTCAGAAATAGAGCATTGATGGCAAAATTGTTCTAGTGTTTAAACTTATTGAAGGACAAAGAATAGAACTAGTTGTTTGGAAATCAGGGGAATGAAGTCATCATGCTGAAAAACGCTGCACATAAGGGAGACATTCCTTGGCCTATGGAGTTAAGAAAAGGCCTCACATGTTCCCCTTGTTTCCCCTGGGAAAAACATTCTTTGATCTTCATGCATGCTGCATTTCCCCTGTGAAACTTGCTTTCCAGTTCAGAATGGAGCAGAACTGAGAACCTAACGTCACCCCGCTCAGCATCACCAAAGCCTACAATAAACTTCTAGTCTTGATGTGCAATCTCCACAGATTTGGGTGAAGACCTCAGAGCTGCAATTCAAGTTTAGATCTGTAGCAACATCTGAAATGCAGCGAGTTTCCCTTGATGTCATCTTTGACAATGGATTTCCCAGATGGTTGTTGAACACACTTATGGAAAGTGATTCCTTACCTTTACTGACAGCCTTCACTTCCTCCGATTCCAGTGCATCACTGGTGCCCTCAGCTCTCCCCCTGAAGTGATAGCTCGTGTCTTGTTCCACTTTGTTAGTAGTGAAGGTAGTGCAGCTCCTGGGGGTTTCTCCCAAAGTCACCCACTCGTTCTTGCCCACCTGCTGTCTCTCAATGATGTAGCTTTGCACAGGTTTGCCCCCATCATCCTTAGGGGGCTTCCACTGAACGGTGATATCATTTGCAGAGCTCTCCACGATTTTGATGGGTCCTGCAGGTGGTTGGGGCTTGTCTGGAAAGATGGACACAGAGAGTCTATGAGTTGGCTCCTGCATTTGAAGCAGGCACTGCCTCTTGCTCAGCAGCTGTGGGGAAGGCAGGCCCTTCCTCCATGGTATTATTACTCTCATACTCACTGCACCAATTCAGCCTGCTTATCAAGGAAGAGTGCCATTTCTGGTCTTCCAAAAGAGCTCAGACATTTATGGTAGGGCTGAATTTGGCCTTGATCATCTATTTTGGATTTGCCTTTTGCATATAGTCCCATCTCCAACAGCTGCCCAACATTGAAAACTCAGCTGCTGAGGCCATGCAAAACCAAACTAGATCTGTATCACCTTGTACTAAGGGGCACCTGGTACTGAGAAACACATCAGCTATCTTTGCTTGTACTCTAGTTTGATGGGAAATTACATAGTCTTGTTCATCTTGGAATATCCAATAGCTCTAAGTAAGATTGTTACCAGTGTTAATGGGTTTCCTGCCTAAACTTTACAATGAAAACCACAGTGGATATTATGGGGCTCTTACCAAATACCACAAGTTTTAAGTTGATCTCCAGGACTCCACTGTCATTCTTCAGCCTGACTTTGTAATCCCCAGCGTCCTTTCTCTCACTGCTGGAGATGGACAGCTTGGTAAAGGTGTCTGTTTTATCAACACGGATCCTTGTGTCATCTGCTAGCTCCATCTTGTCCTTTAGCCAAGCTGCTCTGATTGGCAGCCGACCCTCAAAAGGGATCTTGATGGTTACGTTCTGCCCTGCCTTGGCCACAGTAGGAACACTCGTTAAGTTTTTGAGGAGAACTTTGTCAACCTGTGGAGGATCTAAATGGGTGATACGAGGTCATTAAAATCTGCAATTCAAAGAGGATGAGGATAAGGCTTACCTTGGAGGGAAGGGCTTCCCTCTTGATGCTGTTAATAATGCTTAGAAGCTCACAACATTTGGACCTTCACCTTTAGTTGCATGCTCAGTGCTTCACATACATTCATGTACTTTGCTAGGGGTTAGTTATCATAAAGTATTTTTGGTATCACACTGATTTGGTATCAATGGGAGCACATTTCTCATAGGAAATAGAATGAACACATGGATGAATCTCGCCTGATAAAGCGTTATGTGCACCCAAAAATCACTGAGTTAATAGAAGCTATTCAGGAAAGCTCCCTACATAAATCTGTAAAGATAAAATGCACCAAGCTGTACAAAAATTATCTCCAATTTACATGGTAATTCTTTATAATAAAGTTCTCAATAACCAGCAATAGGTCTCTGAGAAGACATGTTCTGTTTAAAGCACATGAAGGCTAGCACACTGCATTGGTACTTTGTGTAGACTCACCTTCAACAAAAATTGAAGCTTCAGTTTTTATATCTCCACTTTCAAACCTGTATTTCCCAGCATGAATATCTTCCACTTTGTCAATAATTAGTTTGTGGACTAGACCTTCCTTTTTAAAACACACTCCCTCCATGCTGGTTAACTACGAGGTGAAGCACAGAAACCAAAACACAAGAAATTGAGATGTAACTGAAAAGACTTAGGAATGACACATGTTTAATTACACTAATATTCTGAGGTTACTCATCTGGTAACATTGCACAACCATTATCAACATATTCCCCACAAAGGCTTGATTCAAAGTCCATTAAAAGACATTTTAATACAATGCCCAAGCTCTCTATTTCTATTCTTAATGACAAAAAACTTTGGTCCATGCTCAAGTATAACCCTTCTGGACTCCTATGGTATCACCTGGATCCCACAACAGGAATTACTCTTCAGTGCTGTTTTGGAACATAGAATAAGATGCCTACACTTGACCTTAAACACTGATTTGAAAGAGCACTCTGCTTTACACCTGCCTGAAGGATCCTTTGAAGATCTTCCCCTTGCTCTTTGCATATTTCTCTCATTCACCAAAGAAAAGAAAAAAGGATTGTGTTGCAAGGAAGAGGCCCACACCATCTCTGCCCATGTAAAAGAATGGCAAACACAAAGCCTCCTATGGTCAGCAACAATGACAATGTCTTGTAGCAGCAAGAGGGAGAAATCTTGCTGTATTTCTATCAAGAACCTTACTATCAACAGGCTCCTGCAGAATCCTTCCAGGGCCATACTCAGACTAGAGTAAGACCGGCAGAGGGAGGACACTTTGACACACAATTTAAGAGGTAAAGCCAGAGAGCGGAGCCAACCGTAAAATACAGCACTTAGAAGACACCTACCTTTAATCCATCTTTAAACCAGGTTCCTGACACTCCATCTTTACTGACAGTGCAAGACAGCTCAGCTGGATCCCCTTTCAGGACTCTGACATTCAGTAGCTGTTTGTTGACGTGACAACGTGGTGCTGAACATTCAGAAAGGAAAATGTTGAAAAGATGCTAACTCTGTGTTAACACTGACAAAGAAATGTATAGATGAAAATGCACGTGCACATGAGGAGAACCATGCACTCTAGATACTGTAGTCATGACAGGCTCTTGTACCACGAGCCTGTGGGCTAGCTGGCATGAACTCATTGCGCTGAAGGGACATGCCAACTGGCTGGCATATGATATAGCCCCAACATCAGCCTCATGGGGAATGGATTCATCACAAAACACATTACCTATCTACAGGTTTGCTATTTTAAGTCTATGCTAATTTTCCTGGCTCCCTCTATGGAAGCCATTGGGAAAACTGGGCTACTCCAGGATATTCTTTTCTCTGCGTTGAGCAGATACAGGACTGCCCAACCACTTTCCCCTAAACAGCCCCAAGTCTCACTGTCTCTACTCCCTCTTTCACATTAACACCCTCATCCCCTCTCTAATAAACACCCCACCTCCTTCCCTATTAACTCCAATTCTGTTGGTTTTCTTCCTTATTTATATGTATGCCCCATCCCTGGCAGTGTTCAAGGCCAGGCTGGATGGGGCCTTGAGCAACCTGGTCTGGTGGAAGGTGTTTTCACATTATCATCTTGCCAGTGTAGCCATTGGTCTTACTCAAATGGCTGCATACACTTTACTCTGCTTTTACTATAAGCAACACCTTACTACTTCTGGTGTCACAAGAGAAAAGAGCACTTTAAATCAGGCACAACGAGCCTGTTGATCCAATATAAGCAGGCACAGATCTGTTTCTAGAACTTGGAAAAAAAGATATCTGCACTTGATCTTGGAATGAATAAAGTGATACAGTAAGTTTTACATCGGAACAATATCAAACATGCCCATATTCCTTGAAACTCTATGGGAACTAGTATGTCTGTTCTACATGGATCTGAATCATGTATTTGATTGAACAGATGGTACCTGGTTTAGATAATTTAACCAAGGAGAATTTACACTTTTAAGGAGTTTGAGCTCAGCAAATTGTGTAAGGTCCAACAGCAAATCAGTGGTAGAACGAGGAACAGATCATAGTATAACCCAATTGTGAAGTATAGCTACAGTTGTCTAAAGCATAAGATCCAATTTCTCTCCAGGATTAGTGATGTGAGGATTAAACTGCAAAGCCCAGCAGGACAGAAGTCACGGATCAAACACGTACCTTTCAGATCATCGAGGCAATAATGTCGTCTTCTTTCCACACTTTCTGTATTCTTCAAGAAATCATTTGTTTTAATACCAAGGCTGGGCTCCTCTTTCCTCTGGTTTATTGAAGGAGGTCCACCATAAAGAGCTGACATCTGACCATAATCCAATGAACCTTGACCAAAACTACCTGAACTTATCCCACCAACAAATCTATTACGGGATTTACTCCCTGCCCCTCCAAAGGTAGATTTGGTGCCATGAAGGGACCGTAACTGTCCTAGATCTCTGCCCTCAACCCTGGCAGCTCCTCGACCTGAAAGCGAACCTCTGTCATCAGATGAACCTTTGTTCCCTGATCTGAAATCACTGGCAGTGCCCTTTCCAGTTTCACGTCCAGTAGAAGGCTTGCCAGGCTGTGAATCCAGCCCATGTTCACCACCTCGTCCATCAGCACCTACCACACCGTCTTTACCACGGACTGAACGTAATTCCTTTCCATCACCTCCCAAACTCCCAGTGCCACCCAGATGAGCCATGGCTCCAGATGACCCACTGTCCTTGCCATAGGTAGACCCAGTATCCCGTATAGCAGACCCACCTATACCACCACGTTCTAAGGAAAAGCCATTTCCTATTCCAACTGCATATCCGGGAGCTTTGCTAGGAACAGAATCCCGGCCATGGTGAGATCCCATTGCTTCCGCACCTCCCAAAGGAAAACGAGCACCTCCTGCCACAACCCCAGTTGGGAAACCATCCTTTCCATATGGAGATCCAACTCCCCCTGC